CACCCGAGTCTGCCTTGATCCCCTCAAATTTGGTATTATCTACGGTTCTCCCTTCCTCTTACTTTTCTACCTTTGATTTAATTTGTCAAGCATCGATTTAGCACTGACTGTGCCGTAGTATGGAGAGGACAGAGGTGATTTAACCTAGTGCTGGCCCAGGATACCCAGGGTTGATGTACTGAAACTGGACAGACAAAAGGCCGACAATATTTGGATTACATTCTGGGAAGGTGATCTGTCTAGTGTGGCAGGGAAAAAAAAGAGGAGGGAAGATAGAGACTGAGAGGCAAGTTGCTGAAGGACTAAACAATTTAAACTTTAAGCAAGAGACAACAGGAAGCCTTCAAAGACTTTGAGGCCAAATGTGGTTTGAGAAAGCAATATGCCGTGTTATAATGCTTCCCAGCTTACAAAGTGCCTTCATACATCCCCATTCATGAGTTCCTTAATTTTCAGCAAATTAATTATGAGCGAGTATGAAGAAAGTTACTGCTAGAGGAACGTTGTCACAGTCAGGCACAAGCTCTCAGAAGAGCAAGACTGAGTACGGGCTCTGGTGTCAAACAGCCTGGATTTGCAGCTGGCTCTACTGCCTTCTAGCTCTCCGAACCTCTTAACCTCTCTGTGCCTCAGTTTCCTAATACGCAAAATAAAAATAATAACAGCATCCACTTTGGCGAGTTACCATGAAGATTAAATGACAGAATACATAAATATGCACACGAAGTCTTGAGAATGATGTTTTGTGTATACGTTCTAAAAAAACTTATCTATCATTACCTTGTGATACTATTTTCAATCCCCGGATTAATAATATTCTACATATATATTGCATATATACGTAGTTTACACACAAACACACATACACATATAATATCCCTGACTAGAGGGGTGCCTGGGTGGCTCAGTCGGTGGAGCGTCCGACTTCGGCCCAGGTCATGATCTTACGGTTGGTGCGTTCGAGCCCCACGTCGGGCTCTGTGCTGACAGCTTAGAGCCTGGAGCCTGTTTCGGATTCTGTGTCTCCCTCTCTCTCTGCCCTTCCCGTGCTCATTCTCTGTCTCTCTCTCTCAAAAATAAATAAACGTTAAAAAAAAATTTTTTTTTAAATTTCCCTGGCTAGTTTTAAAATTCATAAGAAGAGGGGCGCCTGGGTGGCGCAGTTGGTTAAGCGTCCGACTTCAGCCAGGGCACGATCTCGCGGTCGTGAGTTCGAGCCCCGCGTCGGGCTCTGGGCTGATGGCTCGGAGCCTGGAGCCTGTTTCCGATTCTGTGTCTCCCTCTCTCTCTCTGCCCCTCCCCCGTTCATGCTCTGTCTCTCTCTGTCCCAAAAATAAATAAAAAACGTTGAAAAAAAAATTTTTTTTAATTCATAAGAAGAGAATGGTCTGTCATGTTCCAATGTTAACTATAGCACTTGACATATACTAGCCTCTCAATTAATATTTGTTTAATGAATAAAATGTGGATGAGACAATGTTATGCATTCACCCAACTTTTTGTATTTTATCCTGGGCAGTTACAGGGGACCATGTTTCTTGCAGAAGCAAGAAGTAAACTTCCATTTTGTTAATCCACTAAGATTGTTTTCTAATAGCAGTTAACCTAGTTTGACTAATGCAAAAGGAAGAAAGGAAGGGAAGAAGGAAGGGAGGGAGGGAGGCACATTCACTTTCATGCTTTTGTCTAATAGGAATAAGCAATACTCGCAAAGCAGGACTCAGAACTAGAAGAAGCTTTCAGAGAACAGCTAGGTTAACTTCCTCATTGTGCA